CTTTTTTTTTTTGAGTCGGAGCCTCACTCTGTTGCCCAGGCTGGAGTGCAGTGGCATGCTCACGGCCACCACAACCTTGACCTACTGGGCTCCAAAGATCCATCTGCCTTAGCCTTCCAAGTAGCTGGAACCATAGGCGCATGCCAATTTTTAAATTTATTGTAAAGAAGTCTTACCACATTGCCCAGGCTGGTCTGAAACCCGCGGGCTCAGACAATCCTCTCACCTTGGCCCCCCAAAGTGCTGGGATTTCAGGCTTGAGTCATCACACCCAGACCACTCTCCAATCTTGTAGAGGTGCATCCACTCTCTCTCCAATCTACTTTCCAAATAAACTTTCTTTTCTAATCTAAAAAAAAAAAGAGAACCTTGATAGAAGATAGAAAGATAACTTTCTTTCTTTATGAGTTGGAATCTCACTCCGTCACCCAGGCTGGAGGGCAGTGGCATGCTCCCAGCCACTGCAGCCTTGACCTGCTGGACTCAGTTGATCCTTCCGTCTCAGCCTTTCAAGTAACTGGAACTACAGGCACGCACCACCATGGCTGGCTAATTTTTTGATTTATTGTAGAGGTGGGGTCTCATCAAGTTTCCCAGGCTGACCTTGAACCTGTGGGCTCAGGTAATCCTCTCATCTCAGCCTTCCAAAGTTCTGGGATTATAGGCGTGAGTCACAGTGTCTGGCCAAAAGATAACCTTTAAAAACAGGTTGGGTTTGAGGCCAGCCTGGGCAACATGGTGAGACCTCATCTCTACAATAAATCAAAAATTAGCCAGGCATGGTAGCGCGCACCTGTAGTTCCAGCTACTTGGAAGGCTGAGGTGGCAGGATCGCCTGAGACCAGCAGGTCAATGCTGGGGTGGCCGTGAACGTGCGTGCCACCGTATTCCAACCTAGGCAATGAGACTCCAACTCAAGAAAACAAAAACAGGCTGGGTGCAGCGGGTCATATCTGTAATCCCAGCACTTTGGAAGTCAGAGGTAAGAGGATTCCCTGAGTCCAGGGGTTCAAGACCAGCCTGGGCAACTTGGCAAGATCTTGTCTCTACAATAAAAATAAAAAAATCAGTCGGGCGTGGTGGCGCACACCTGTAGTTCCAGCTATTTTGAAGTCTGAGGTAGACGGGTTGCTTCAGGCCAGGAAGTCAAGGCTGCAGTAGCCATGAGTTTGCCACTGCACTCCAGACTGGACAACAGAATAACACTCACTGACTCAAAAAGAAAAGAAAAATAATTTCTAAGACAGCAATTCAACTTAGCCTCTAGGAAGTTTTCCTAAGGAGGCAGTAAAAATTTGGCCAATTAAACAGGCATTTGTAAATAGCTTCATTGCCACCTGGAATCTTGGCATTTTGGGAGGCTGAGGCAGGCAATAGCTTGGGCCTAGGAGTTTAAGACTGGGCCGGGCAGCATAGTGAGGCTTTATCTCTACAAAAATAAGAAATAAGCCGGGCTTGGTGGCTCAGCCTGTAATCCTGTGCCTTTGGGAGGCTGAAGTGAGTGGACTGCCTGAGCCCACGGGTTCGAGACCCGCCTGGGCAACTTGGTGAGACCGCGTCTCTACAATAAATCAAAATGAGCCGGGCGTGGTAGCGCGTGCCTGTAGTTCCAGCTACTTGGAAGGCTGAGGCGGGAGGATCACCAGAGCCCAGCAGGTCGAGGCTGCGGTGGCCGGGAGCGGCCACTGCACTCCAGTCTGGGCGACAGAGTGAGTCTCCAACTCAAAAAAAACAAAAACAAAACAAAAATAAGAAATAAGCTGGGCATGGAGGCACGTGCCTGAAGTCCCAGCTACACGGGAGGCTGCGGCAGAAGGATTGCTTGGGTCCAGGAGGTCAAAGCTGTGGTGAGCCATGACTGTGCCACTGCACTCCAGGCGGGGCAGTGAGACCCTGACTCACTGCAGGGCTTAACAGTGCAGATGACAATCAAACTGGATGCCCCCGGCAGGGCGTAGCTCCCTCCTCGTTCAAGAGATGCTCATGAGCATTTACTGCACTTTGGCACGTGCTGGGTGCTGAGTACAGGTCAGTCAACACAACAGGAAGCACCTCTGCGCCCGCGGTATTTACATCCGATATGGACCACACTCCCGTAAGCAGGAGAATGCAAAGAGGGCAGGGCCCCAGGAAGGGTGAACTCAGACTGTTTCTAGTCAGAGAGAAAGCCCCTGTGCTGTAGGAGACACGGTGAGACGAGGGGCCAAGACAACAGGGTCCACATAGCAGAGGACAGCTGTGGTGTGAAGAGGGTGGTCAGGGTGACACAGGTGGCCTGGCACAGATGTGCATGACATTCGTGAGCAAGGGACTGGACACGGGCACACAGGACCACCCCCTGCCCGGTTCCCCCTCCTAGGCCCCTCCCACCTGCACCCCAGCTGGGCCGATTCCCCTGCTGTCTTCTCACAGTCCGGCCTTTCCTTCCGCTGAGCTTGACCCAGTTTGGAATCGTGTGTGTCACGTGTACTTGTGTTCATTCTCCCTCCGCAAGAACCATTTGAGAAGGTAAGAGTGGCAACAGTCTTGTGTCCCGCTGTCCCCAGGCCCGGTACACAGAAGGTGCTTGCCGAAAGACAGAACACTTCCATGCTGCTCATCCGCTTCACTTCCCGAAGGAATGGGCCCGGCACAGGGGCTATGTGTCAGGTAAACGCTGTGGGAAGGCGATCCCAGCGGTGGCATGTTGGGCCCAGAGAAACCCTCTGCGGGGCTGGGCCCACAGCTCTGTCTCCCAGGACTCACCCGCAGGAAGGACTGTTTCTCTCCACAAGCTTTGCATGTCCATTTGGTGCTCTTTTTCGCCTATAAGGAAATTTCAAAAACAATTCAGATAATCTTTTTTTTTGAGTTGGAGTCTCACTGTGACGCAGGCTAGAGTACAGTGGCATGCTCATGGCCACCGCAGCCTCAACCTGCTGGGCTCAGGCGATCCTTCCACCTCAGTCTTCCAAGTAGCCGGAACGACAGGCACGTACCACCATGCCCAGCTAATTTTGTTTTTTTGAGTTGAAGTCTCACTCTGTTGCCCAGACTGGAGTGCAGTGGCACGTTCCTGGTCACCGCAGCCTCAACCTGCTGGATTCCGGCGATCCTTCCGCTCAGCCTTCCAAGTAGCTGGAAATACAGGCGTGCGCTACCACGGCCGGCTAATTTTTTGATTTATTGTAGACATGAGGTCTCGCCAAGTTGTCCAGGTGGGTCTCAAACCCACAGCCTCAGACAATCCACTTACCTTGGCCTCCCAAAGCACGGGATTACAGTCTGAGCCACCGAGCCCGGTCAATTTTTTTTGTGTTTTGAGTTGGAGTCTTACTCTGTTGCCCAGGCTGGAGTGCAGTGGCGCATCATGGCGACCCTAGTGTTGACCTGCTGGGCTCCAGCAACCCTTCTGCCTCAGCCTTCCAAGCAGCCAGAACTATAGGTGCACGCTAACAGGCCTGGCTAATTTATTTATTGCAGAGAAGAGGTCTCCCCAAGTTGCCTGGGCTGGTCTTGAACCCGTGGGCTTAGGCAAACCACTCACCTCAAACTCCCAAACTGATGGGATTACAGGTTGAGCCACAGAGCTCAGGCTAATTTTTTGATTTATTCTAGAGGTGAGATCTTGCCAAGTTGCCTGGGCTGGTCTTGAACCCGCCAGCTCAGACAATCCCCTCACCTCAGCCTCCCAAATTGCTGGAATTATAGGTGTGAGCCACCGCACCCAGCCTCAGATAATCATTTAAAACAAAGGGGACCAGCCAGGCAAGGTGGCTCAAGTCTACAATCCCAGCACTTTGGGAGGCTGAGGCGAGAGGATTGCCTGAGGCCCCGGGGTTCAACACCAGCCTGGGCAACATGGCGAGACTCGTCTCTATAACAGAGCAAAATATTAGCCGGGCGTGATAGCACGCACCTGTAGTTCCAGCTACTTGCAAGGCTGAGGTGGAGGGATCACCTGAGCCCAGCAGGTTGAGGCTGTGGTGGTCGGGAGCGTGCCACTGCACTCCAGCCTGGGCCGAGTGAGACTCCAACTCAAAAAAAATAATAAGATAAAATAAAACAAAGGGGACTGAGATCAGAAGTCATTTCAGATCAGTGGAAAAGGAAGGGTTCAGAAACAAAACAACACACATGAAAATTTAGAAACTACACAGGTGGCATTTAAGAGGAAAGAACAGGCAACTTAAGTGGTGCTGGGAAAACTGGCCATCTGTATAAAACATATCACGTTGGGCAGCCCTGTGACTGGAGAGGTTGAGGAGGGAGCTTAAGCCCAGGAGGTCAAGGTCAGCCTGGACAACACAGCAAAACCCCACCTCAAAATAAATAAATAGATACATTAGCTCAAGTTGGACCTGTACCACAAGCGGGTCTCAGAAAAAAAAATCTGCAAACACCTAACTTTGATCCTTGATAAGCTTCTCTCTTAACATGGTAAGACACCCTCAGTCCAGACTGACAGCCAAGGTCACTGCCAGCATTCCCAAAGGCGAAGGCGAGCCAGGGATTACCACTACTCCCCACCATTGTTTTCTGGATGTACTAGCTAGCAGAATTAGAAGAAAGTAGTGACAGGCACGAAAATGAGAAAGGAAAAAAACCCCTACCATTATCTATAAATCTACCACCTTATCTGACTGGAATCCCAAGAGAACCATGCGAAAACCTACTAAAAGCAGCTGGGTGTGGTGGCTCATGCCTGTAACGAAAACCTACTAAAAGCAGCTGGGTGTGGTGGCTCATGCCTGTAACGGGGTTCAAGACCAGCCTGGGCAACTTGGCAAGACCTTGTCTCTGCAATTAATCAAAAAATTAGCCGGGTGTGGTGGTGCATGCCTATGGTTCCAGCTACTTGGAAGGCTGAGGCAGAAGGATCACCTGAGCCCAGCAGGTCGAGGCTGCAGTGGCTGTAAGTGCCTCTGCACGCCACCCTGGGCAACAGAGTGAAACTTTGACTTAAAAAAAAAAAAGAAAAAAAAAAAGAAAAAGAAAATCTACTAAAAGCAGTAAGGCAATATAACACACTGGCTAGGTACAAAATTAGCATTTCTTCAAAAAGTGATACAGCTTTTATATAAGCAAACATCTAGTTAGAAAAGATGGTAAGAGTCTATTTATTTATTTAACTTTTTTCTTTTTTTTTTTGAGTTGGAGTCTCACTGTCGCCCAGACTGGAGTGCAGTGGCCGCTCCCGGCCACCGCAGCCTCGACCTGCTGGGCTCCGGTGATCCTTCCGCTTCAGCCTTCCAAGTAGCTGGAACTACAGGTATGCGCTACCACGCCCGGCTGATTTTTTGATTTATTGTACAGACGAGGTCTCACCTGCCCAGGTGGGTCTCGAACCCGCGGGCTCAGACAATCCACTCACCTCAGCCTCCCAAAGGCGTGGGATTACAGGCTGAGCCACCTAGCCCGGCTGGCAATGCATTTTTTAAAGGTCTAGGAGGCCCAGGCAAGGTAGGTGAGGTGGCTGGAGAGAGAGGATTGCTTGAGCCCAGGAGTTCAAGACCAGCCAAGGTCTCTACAAAAAAAACAAAAAATGTAGCCAGGCGTGGTAGTGCACACCTGTAGACCTAACTACATGGGAGGCTGCGGCAGAAAGACCACCTGTGGTGAGTTGTGATCTTGCTATTTCACTTCAGCCTTGGCAGAGATCCTGGCTCAAAAAAGTAAGATAGTTCTGGGCCAGGCTCAGTGGCTCAGCCTGTAATCCTAGCACTTTGAGAGGGCGAGGTGAGTGGATTTGCCCAAGACCACAGGTTGGAGACCAGCCGGGGCAACTTGGTGAGACCTCATCTCTACAATAAATCAAAATCTAGTCGGGTGTGGTAGTGCGCCTGTAGTTCTGGCGACTTGGAAGGCTGAGGCAGAAGCATCACCGGAGCCCAGCGGGTTGAGGCTGCGGTGACCGCGAGCATGACACTGCACTCCAGTCTGGGCTACAGAGTGAGACTCCAACTCAAAACAAACAAACAAAACATATATATATAGCTTTGCATAGAGAATGAGGTTTAAAAAAATAACAAAAAGGAAAAGGCCTAGAAGGATACACAGGAAGTAGTAACGGATCAATTCTGGGAGCGTGATGGAACAGGCTCTCTGCAAAGGTACAGGCCTGGCTCTGCCACTTAGTACGTGGGAGAAACCCCTTGATTTCAGTCATTTTCTTCTTTAGAAAAAGCTCCCATAGCAGGAGGGGACCTGAAAGAAGGCTGCCCCAGGATGCTTCTCCAAGATTCGCGAATGCTGCCTCGTCACAGGTTGGAGAAACCAAATGACATGTGAAAACTGCCCGGCACACAGCAGAGTTGCAATCCAAAGCCCCCTTGCTCCCACTTTTCACGGGCCCGAAAGCGGCCACGAGGTGTTCAGGACGCGTCCACGACTCCCAGGGCCAAGGACCTCCACGCATCCTCAACCCTGGCAGAAGGCCCCCCAGAAGAGCCCCTCGGGCGGGCTTGAGGGCGCAGGTCTGGAGGAAGCCGGCGCTGCCCCTCCGCGGGCGAGGCGAGCGGACAAGCCCAGGCGCGGCCGG